CACACAAAGACCACATAGGATGATATGGTTTGGCTCTGTGTGCCCACCCAAATCTCATCTTGTAGCTCCCATAATTCTCAGGTGTTGTGGGAAGGACCTGGTGGGAGATGATTGAATCATGGGAGCAGGTCTTTCCTGTGCTGTTCTTGTGATAGTCAATGGGTCTCATGAAATCTGATGGTTTTAAAAACGGGAGTTTCTCTGCACAAGCTCTCTCTTTGCCTGCTGCCATCCACATAAGATGTGATTTGCTCCTCCTTGCCTTCCACCATTATTGTGAGGCCTCCCAGCCACATGGAACTGTGACGTGAGTCCAATCAAACCTCTTTCTTTTGTAAATTGCCCAGTCTCGGGTATGTCTTTATCAGCCGCAAGAAACTGTACTAATACATAGGAAAAGAAAACAAAATTTTATAGAATTTGTTCTTCCTCTGTGTTCAGTCTTTTGAGGCAATATCTCATAAACCTGTGACTTGGAATGATCATTCATTCCCATTGTACACCTGGGAAAACCAGTAAGATTCAGTCACATGCATTGGTCTGTATGGCAACTGAGGTTTGTTGCTCCAAAGCTGATCCTGCTTTGTTTAAATCAGGCCGCCTACATCCCAATTAAAAACTTAAAAAGAAGTGTATTTTTCATTCTGATTTTATATGGTTATTTGAAGCTTCTTCCTTTGTTTTTCAAGAGTTTCGCCTGTGTCATTGTTTTCTGTGTTTAGCACAGTGCATAGCATCTGCTAGAGTGGCTTGCACATAGTTAGTGCTTAATAAATGTTTATTTAATATATATATATCAAACCGTTTTTAATATTACAAAGGATTCTGCATCTCTTTCCTTACTTTCTAGGAAGCCTGGCCCCAAGGGCCCCTGCAAACTTGTTTGTGCCTGATAAATTACAGATTAACTAACACTCTTTGGATCCCCTACTATGTGCTAGGCATGGTGTTAGTGCTTCATTCATTCATTTCTTTCCCTCCCTCCTTTCTGTCCTTTCCTCCACTTCTATTGATCTGCTATTCTGGGCCAAGCACTGTCCTAAATACAGCGAATAGTGAGTGAATAAAATACAATCAGCACTTAAGGAGCTTATATTATTTCTTCTAATCCTCATAATAACCTCATGGGATAGTTTTTTATTTAATAGGAAGGAAATTGAGGCCCACAAGGTTAAGTAATTTGCCTAGGGTTGCAGAGCTTACTTAGTCAATTGTTTAAGGGGAGGATTAGAATTAGTGTTTTTCTGGCTTCCAAGGCCAAGTTCTTTTAATTGTATTGGGAGATCCAAGAATCAAACAGGAAAGGTGATTTCAGGTACAGACTAAGGTGGGATGCCTTAGAGGTGGGCATGATACATTAGCTAAGACATATAATGCTTATCATGTAGGCACCTGATGTGCCTTATTCACTCAATTCTTATATAAACTCTGTGAGCTGTTACTGATATTACTCCACTTTGCAGATGAAGAACCCAAGGCTCAAGGAGGTTGAGTCACTTGCCTTAAGGTCACAGAGCAAAGAAGTCAGAATTGAATCTAGCAGTTTGGCTCGTCAGTCCATAGTCTTAACTGTTACACTGACATTAAAAACAATAATAACAAAGCCAGGTGTGCTGGCTGAAGCCTATAATCCCAGTGCTTTGGAAGGCTGAGGCAGGAGGATCACCTGAACCCTGGAATTTGAGGCTGCAGTGAGCTATGATGGTGCCACTGCATTCCAGCCGAGGCAACAGAGCAAGATCCCATCTCTAAAAAAGGTGGTCAGGACTGGGGTGCAAAAAAATAATAAAGAAAAAGAGGAAAAAAGGTGCCTCTGTCAGAAGCAAACTCTTGGGATTATGGTTGTTCCGTGTGGCTAGAACTTGCTCTGGTCCAGAATAAGCATAGTATTCTATGTGCTTTCTGTGCATTTGTTCACTTAAATCTCACACTATTAAGATGAGGTAGGCAGATTATTATCATCCATATTACACGTAAGGAGACGCCGAGGTTTGGAGAAGTTAATTTGCCTTGATTCATTGAACTAGTAAGTATTAAGCCTGAAATTCAGACAATTCATTGGTAATTAGTCACTAATCCCACCTGGTGACTTTTCCTTCTTCTAAGTGACTCTCAGGAAATGATCAAAACAAAGAAAAAATGATATGCACCAAGTCGTTTATTGAAACATTATGGAAAATAGAAACACTTGCTCAATGGAACATTGGTCATCTTTCAAACAATGATGACTATGAAGACTGTAGTGCCCTAGGAAAAATCTACATAATAGTAGAACATTAAGAGAAAAACAAATAGAAATGCTATGTTTGCTGGAGTTACAGTTCTCTTACGTGCGCTTATAGATACGAGACTTGCGACCAATACACACAAAAAAAGAAAAGAAAGGTAGTTACCAGGTTAGAGTGGTGGGATTGTGGGAAAATATGTTTCTCTTTTCAATATTTTAAAATGTAATTTCTGCAATAAACTTACAGGAAAGATAAAGGCATTTTGCCTATGAGAAGGATGTTTTGGTGGCTTACCTCAAAAGTTCAGGCTGGGTTAAAATCTATTCAGCTTCTGTAGCCAGGAGTGCCTGGCTCCTGAGGTTCTGGGGGAATCCACATCCCCAAACAGAGCAGGAGAGGTAAAAATAAAATAAAAACCCAAAACTGGAAAAGGCAATGATGTCAAGGATGGGATAATATCAGATGCCATGCAGAGCAAGTAACCTTGGCCTCAATGATTCTTTCCTAATTTTATATTTTAATAATATTGTTATAGTAGAAATAGAAACAAAGAAAAAAGTCTGCTAACATTAAGTAGTAGTAGGTACACCTTTCCCCAGAAGTTGAGGAAAAATGAAATTTTTGCAACCTGGTTATGCAATAATGTACATGAATGCTAGTGTTCCCAGGGATATTTTCAGAGCTGAGATCTGCTTTTACACTGAATTTATCTTCGACAGGAGATGGCACTGAACACCTTAGGTTGAATTTTCTCTAGTGTCTGAAGACTCTTGGTGAGTTCATGAACAAACGGCATTGGTGTATCATTGGGAGTTCCCTCGTTCTTTTTTTTTTTTTCTTGCACATTGCAGATAATGACCCCTTAGTTAATTTCCTTGCCCGCTTTAGAGTTTTACATACTGAGTTTCCCTAAACAGGGAAAGGGTAGCCACATTATTGAGCACCTGTTGTACGTCTGGTGTTATGTTAGACACAGCTTAGAATTCACAGTGAGACTTTAATGTGCATATAATAATTACCAGTATCATAGCACAGGTTAGTGGTTAGGATCAAGTCAGATTCAAATCCCTGCTCAGCAGCTTAACGACTGTGTGATCTTGGGCAAGTCTTCACTGTGATGATGATGACAATGACAATGATGATGATGAAGGTTATGGTGCTTGTGTTGGGAGGCCATATTCCAGGAGAATGATATTAGCATCATCTCAGGCTCACCTGTGTCCTGTTGTGATTGAGACTCCAGCTGATGAGGAAGAGACACAGAGCCAGTGATCACATGGATTGTCTGGGGAGTGAACACAGTTAACTGGAAAGAGTTCTTATATTTTCTCCACAGCATTCTTTTTTTTAAACAAATTACTTCATCCATCCAGTTCAGGTCTTTAAGACATAATGAGTTTCTAGTGGCCTCCTACAGAGGGGGACAAGTAAGTCTTGGTTCGCTTGGCTCGATCCTGGTTTATGCATGTGATCCTGGCAAAATTATTAATGATAGTGCTTTTCAATCTCAAAAGTGTTCAGGTTTGGATGATAAGGGATATTGTCACCCTTACTCTGTGGCCTCCTTTTCTGTTGTCTCCCCTCTAAAACGTGTTTAGCAGCACCAGATGAAGTTGCCCACAGAACTGCTTTACTTATGCCCCCCTCTACTAAAAAACTTTATGAGGTTCCCAATGACCTACTGAATACAGTCCAGACTCCTTAACCCAGCACTGAGTACAGAAGCAAGGCTTATGTATGTGCATCCCCTATAGCATATCGTAAAGTGCTTATCAAGTAGCATGATCTCAGGAAACACGTATTGATACCTGAATCAATGTGTGTAGTCATGCTCAGGCTGCTTGTCAGTTTCTTGAATGCATCTTTCTTCTGCCTGCTTCAAGAACTTCGCACATGCTGTTCCTTCTGCCAGGAAGATGCTTCTTCCCCCTCCTGGTTCGTGCCTTCGCATTCTTTAGCTGCCAATTTAATACTGCTTCCTCCAAGAAGCTTCCTAACTACCCCCAGATTAGACCGAACCCCCCTTTTTTTCTCTCGTGTGGCACTCTTGGCAATTGCATCGCTGTGTGATTATTTATAGTTGTCCACACTAAACTCTAATCTTCCAAAAAGACAGAACTGTCCATTGAGGCTGTGTCCCTCCTGTGTAGTCAGCCCCTGGTGCATGGCCCCCCATAAATAGTTGCCAAATGAAGACAGGGATGAATGAATGTGGGCTACCCTTTCTGAGCCAGTGCAGTCCGCGTCACCTATTTAAAGTCCTCCAATAGCTTCTTAGCACACTTGGAATAAATGTGAAGTTCCTAGGAGGGTCTGCAAGTCCCTACATACTTTGGATTCTTCCCAACTTTCTACCTCATTTCCTGCTGCTCTCTTCACCTCTCGCTTTGCCATGCTGGCCTCCTGGCTTCTCCTCACACACCCAAGGCCACCCAGACCCTTGCACTCCAACATCACCTCATCAGAGAGGCCTTCAGTGTCCCCACTGCCCAAAAAGCACCCCCACCTCTCTTGATCTCCCATTCTATGGCTTTATTTTCTTCATAACACTCACTTTCTGCTGTCTTCTTGCTAATTTGTCTCTGTCTCCACCACAGAATATAAGCTCTCTGAGAGCAGGGACCTTGTCTGCCATGTTCATCACTAGCTGCTCAGAACCTGGCAAACAGTAGGTGCTAAATCAATACTTAGTAAACGAGGGAAGGAGTGAAAGCAGAGGCGGGGCAGGGCCCCTTCCTGGAACCCAGCAGCCCCTGGGGCAGGGCCTGTGGCGTTGCCATGGCAACCCACTGACCTGAGCCACCCCCTGGAGAGGCCACAGCTGCTGGCTTCCTGGGCTTCTCCAAGCTTCTGTGTGTCGCCACTGCCACCGGCAGGGAGCCAGGAGAGAGACAGAAAGGGGCTGAGAGAGAATGATCAAAAGGAGAGCCCACCCTGGTGCGGGAGGCGACAGGACCAGGCCTCGACGGCGCCGTTCCACTGGTAATGACCAGGGCCCAGGGAGAGGAGACTGGGGTGGGCCTGGCACCCCCAGGGGGAACCGGGGCCAGGCCTGCCCTTGGTAGCTGTGAGTGTGGCGTGTCAACTCTTTTGTAGCGTTTCTGGAGCTGCAAGTTCCTAAAATAGGCCCCAGCACAGTGCCCTGAGAGACTGTTGATACAGTGTGAATAACAGCCTCTATTAAATCCCGGTGACACTTTCTAAGTCAGGAGGCGTTTTCTACAGGTATTGCATAAGTCAGGACCTCCGTGTTCTCATCCAGTGCCTCAGGAACAAAACTCAGCGTGTTCACTTCCCCACTGCTTGAACACCACGGCTGGCTCCCAGCTGCCTGCAGGCTTCGTGGCCTGGTGGGCCCGGCGGGCAAGGCCTTTGCAATCTGCTCCTAACGGACTCTTCCACCTGTCTCCCAGCACTGGGAGTCACAGGTCGGCGAACTCTTCACCTTTCCCAGAACCACCAGGCCTTTCACAGCTTTGTGCCTTTGTCCTGAAGGCAGCCCTCCTGCCTGAAATGCCCTGCTTCCCTCCTTGGTCTGGCAGGTGCTGAATCCTTTAAGGACCAGCTGAAATGCCACCCCCTCTGTGAAGCAGCCAGGCTTTCCCCTCCATGGAAGCTCTCCTCTCTATGCCCCACAGCATCTTATTATAATACCAAACATTCCTGGTACCTGCTTGTAGAGGCAGTGTGGGCAGTGTGGGCAGTGTGGGCAGTGAGCACACCCCAGCCTTGGAGTCAGACAGACCTGACCTAGCTCAGCCACCAACTAGCTTCTCTGGGTCTGAGTTTCATTCTTGCAAATCAAAGTTAGTCAAGTCTCCGTTTCAGTTGCTGTGAGCAACAGAGATGAAGCATGTGGAGCGGAGCGACCAGCACTGGAGGTCACTCAATAAATGCCAGACATCACCATTAGGCATCTGTCGCTGTCACTCAGCTGTGAGTTCCTGGTGGATAGAGACCATGCCTTCCTCACTTTTCTACGGCTCTTAAAGCCAAACACACTAGGTGCTTTACCTTTATAATTCCAGTTAATCTTTGAAGAAATCAGGTAGGTAAGAATTCAGGATGGTTTAGGAACCGTCCCAATGTTACATAACTAGTAAGTGGCCAGGCTGGGATTTGAAATCCAGTCGGATTTGAGCTCCAAACCCCACTTTCTACCAAGCCCATCTCTGTCTTCTCTTTCATGTTGTACCACCTCCCCCTTGATCACTCTGCATCAGCCCCCTGAGCCTTCTTGCCATTCCTCAAATAAGTCAAGCATGATCTTTCCTGGGGTTGGTGGTAACCTTCACCCTTGTGGTCCCCTCTTTCTGAATCTTGGAAAACCTTGCTCCCTCACTAAACTCAGTGTCTGCTCACAGGCTGTTTCTTCCCAGAGGCCTTTCTGGTGGAGAATCCCCGCTCCTCCTCTCTCATTCTCCATTATTTTCTTCCTTTACTTTTCTTTATCACAAGCATCACTACAGCTATGTGCCCAATACTGTACTAGGCTCTTGGGGACAAGGTACTGAACAAGATACACAAGGTCATTAGAATTTACGTGTTAAGGGTGGGAAAAATAAGTGATTTTTTTAAAAGGGAATAAACAACAACAACAACAACAAAAACCCCAGATACTTTTAGGTCTTGAGACGCTAGTCCACCAGAGATATCCTGTGTAATGTATGTGTGTCCTGTTGAATAGCTTTTGTTCATCTCTTCTATTTGAACACTGAAGATACTTGATAATTATTTGGAAAATGAATAAATGGATGCATGGATAATCTAAGAGATTCCTGTCAATGTGTCCTATAAACTTCAAGGATTACCTGGCTCTTGATAACCATCTTAATAGGCCCTCTCTGCCAGGTCAATATGGGTTTGTGAAGCACCACTCTGAACCTTGAACTGCCTTGGACATGCCATGTCCCCGATGCGGCTACTTCTGAGTTATTCTTTGCTGCTGTGAAGAGAATGAAGCCTTGTAGAAAACCTGATAACTATATATGGCTCTGCTCAACCTCATTATATGTACCCAGGAGAATAACTTCACACTGGGGTCTCCAAATCTTCAGTCCAAAGTGAAGAGGCACAAAGATCTTCCTCTAAGGAATGTGGGCTGAACTCCCTGAAAGTGAAAATCCATAGGCATTATCTGCCTCCTCCTTCCTGCCCATAATCCCAGATGAATCAGGGGAAGGGATGCTTCACAGCCCAGGAGCCTCTGCTCACAGCTGTAGGCAAATCCTCTTGGGCACTTGCACAAGCTTGGTCCTTACTAACAGGTCAGATGATTTTTATAGATCAAGAATGAGGCAATTGGGAATAGGAAGTTATCTCAGTAGGAACTGAACTCTCTTTCTCCTATGTCCCATGCAGTCCCCAGAACTCAGTACCAGTATTGCAGCATTGATCACAGTCTGCCTTCCTTTAGAACTTTTGCTTCAAGCCTAACTTTCCATATCTATAATTAGAGATATGAAAACATGACATGTAATGTTGTTCTGGGTCCAATTTAGACAACACATGTGAAAATGGCTTCTATAGTACCTGGCACTCAATAGGAACTTAATTTTTTAGAAAAGACGTGTATTTATTGTGCAACATCTATGAAGCCAGGCACAGGGCCAGCCACTGGGTGTGAGATGATGGACAAAAATGACAGGGTCCTGCACTCATGAGCTCAGGGGTTAGCACATGCCTTACTTTCTACTTGGTAACTAGAGGGCAGAAGCCAGTCTTGTTCATGTTTATATCACTACAACTGCTGTCTCTTTTTTTTTTTTTTTTTTTTTGAGATGGAGTCTCACTCTGTCACCCAGGCTGGAGTGCAGTGGTGCAATCTCGGCTCACAGCAATCTCTGCCTTCCAGGTTCAAGCTATTCTCCTGCCTCAGCCTCCTGAGTAGCTGGGATTACAGGTGCATGCCACCCACACCCAGCTAATTTTTGTATTTGTAGTAGAGACAGGGTTTTGTCACATTGGCCAGGCTGGTCTTTATCAGCCTGTCTCAGCCTCCCAAAGTGCTGGGATTACAGGCGTGTGCCACTGCGCCTGGCCACTACAGCTTCTCTTTAGCACAGCTTCTTGCATCTAGAAGGCACAAAATAAATGTGTGTTGAATTTTGCTTTATTTGGAAAATCGCCTTTGATGTGTTATACTTTTCCATGCCTATGCGGTTAAAAAAAAAAGAGAGAGAAAATGATTAGGAAATTCTATAGATATGTGGATGTATCTACTTATAAGCTATGCGTTCTTTGACATATGTGTCACTGATGTAACACTTATTGAGGCCAGACTACAGGAAAAACTTTATGACAGTACTAGTGGAGAGTCAAAAGAAATAGAATAAAACAGGCTTCATTCTTAAGAGGTTTAAATTCTAAACTGAAGAGGCTTCTGTGTATGACAAAGGCTGACAAAAAATATGTAAATGAATTTAGCGCATTATATAAGTAGAGTTTTAGCAAAAGTTCGAATACAAAGCAGACTGAGAAAAATGCTGCAGAATTGGCACATTGTTCTGAGGACTAAATGGGACATAGGAGGAGAAAGCTCAGTTCACATTTGGAGAGATCATTGTGATTATGACCTGAGTTTGAATGCTGGTCTTCCTCTTACTAGCCAGATGACTTTGGACGAGTCACTGAATCTCTCTGAGCCTTAGTTTTCTTATCTCTAAAATGGGCCTATTAATAGCACCCACCTCTAGGACTGTAATGAGTATTAAGTATGATGATGTATGTAATGCAGTTGTATGATACCTCACCCATAGTGAGAGCTCAATATATACTGAACTTTATTATTATAAAATCACATCACCTACAAATCAATAAGGTGGAAGAACACAGTGTTTCATTCAAAATTCAGTATACATGTCATTCTGCCCAAGTAATTCTTGACCTCTGCAAGACCGAAATCCATTGTTAAAAATAATTTTAAAGTACATAACATTGACTTCAGCTGACCTAAAGAGAGGCCTTCCAGTCATAGGAAGCTACCTGGCTTATGAGACATGAATTGGAGATGCCACTCCTAAGAGCTCCACTAGGGAAGAAGACAAAGGTCAAAGTGCCCCTGCAGATTCAAGGCCTGTATCTGGTTTGGATATCTCAGAGTGTTGCATCCACATAGTCTGGAATGCAAGACCCTTGAATGCATGAGAACTCCAACTGTCCAGAACAACACAGGTGATGGTTCTTTCACTGTTCAGACCATGGTCTGAACCCTCAGAGTCTATCCCAAGTGCCACGTGTTCACATGGACATTGATTAACTAGAAGACACCCAGAAGCAGGTGAACTGGATGGCAAAGAAATGGGAACATTTTTTTCCAAGAAAGAGGTGAAACAATGCGGTTCTTTGATGGGGGTACTTCAACCAGAAATATGGGGAAATGATGATTATCTTCTCATATCTGCAATGTGCCAGTGAGACCAGACTTATTGTGGGTTGCCCCAGGGAGCACAGTTGGCTACAGGCATAGACTGTTGGGTCAGAGAGATCTGAGTGGGTGCGATGGGTGAGATGTGTTCTCTTTCGTTTTCACGGCACCTCCCACCCTCTCCCACTTCTTGTAGCCTTGCTTTCATCTCTCTCCAGTGTGGGATTGCACAGTGTGGAGGACAGGTGCTGCCGTCAGGAAAGTTCTTTCTTTACTTGAGCTCTTGTGGGTGGGCGCTGTGCTCTCTTGGCTTACCTGGTTATTAGAACAAGCTCGTCTCGGGAATGTTGCCACAAATTCTTCAGAGAATGTCCCACCAGTCACGAGGGGTTCTCGCCTGCGAGAACAGGCCCTTCTAAGGACTCTGATGTTAACAGGCCTGAATCCAGCGCAGGCAAATGGGTGAGAGGGAGAGTGCTTCCCTTAGTTCCTGTTTCTGACAATGTGGGGATTGGGGTGTAGATGTGCGTGCGTGTGAGAGTGACTGGGTGTGTATACCTATCTAGGAAGACCAGGGGTTGGCCCAGAACTATAGATATTGCTTTTGATGGTATGGTTTGGTGGAGGCAGGGGCTGCCAACTTCAGCAGATGCCATCTATATGTAGCCATGGCTGCTGCCAGGGAAAATGAGCCAGGAATTGAAAGGATGAGAAGATCTAAGTGGAGACATTCTGGAGAATCCTGAAACGAATTCTGGAGATTTGTAAGCAGATGTGCGTTTGGATACAGTGTGATGACAGACACCTACCCCCAGCTTTGAAACATTACAAGCTGTCTGTCTCCACATTGTGCATTCGATATCTGGAAGGGGCAGCGTTTTAATGTTTTGAATTTCTCTGCTCCTCAGTATTTCCTGGGAAATATCAGATTTCCATATCCTCTCAACAAGCTGGCCCTTGTTCCTCCCCTCAGATATTTTCCCCCTACTTATTCACAATTTTGGAAGCAGCTTTTAAAAGAGCAGTTTGTTGGGACATAAAATACAAAACAAAACAAAAATCCGACATCTCTCCCGGCTGTTGACATTGATTTCCCCTCTCCACATAGCTTACTCGTCTACGTGGCTTCTTTTTACAATGTGTAACCTAAGGTGTTAACTAATGATCTTTTCCTCAGCTCTTTGAATTATGAAGAGTCACATTACTTAATCCCTCTAAATCCCAGTTGCTTTCTAGGAAAAATAGAGATTAAAATCCTTGCTTCAGAGAGTTGTTGTGAAGATTCAATGAAATAACTTATGCAGAGGGCTGGCATGTTAAAATAGGTGTACAATAAATACCAGCTCCCAGATCATAAAGAAGGCAATGGGGAACCACACTGCCCAAAAGCCTGCAGCCATAGGTGTAGCCATTACTGCTATAACACCCCATATGCCTTCCTAAAAATCACCACATTATACAGAATCGGCCAACAAAGACCACTGAGTTTACTGGAAAAATAAGCTTAGGGGCACAATACTGAAAAACCTTGTCAGTGACACATAATAAAAGACAGAAACCTAATAAAAATGATATCACAGTTTTGCACATGTTAAATGGTTTAGAAATACACAAATCCAATAAAAATGGCACTTCACCTTGGAAAAGACCTGAAGATTGCCTTTAGAGGTGGATATCGGAAGGGTTGCAGCCTGTGAGTTATTATGAAGTGAGCAGGTGTGACTCACAGCACAATGTGGACCAAAGTAGCTGGTAGATGTCTGAGGTGTGAACGTGAGCGTGTTCCGCATGTTTCTGTGGTGCTCAGTGTAATGGGGGGGAGGGACGTGGAGTTTTCTGCATTCCCCTAATGTTTTTTATGAAATAAATGGAGCATAAAGAGACACAAAGTTTGCACTCTGCTCAGATTGTTCCCAAATATATCACTTGCATTGGGACACATTTGTTTTCTCAAGACAAGTGTTATAGTAGAGCTGACTGTACTTAGCTGATGTTGTTGAATGATGAATGAATGAATGAATGAATGAATGGTGGGTGGTCTAGAAAACAGAATAAGTATTACACTACATTGCCACAAATACATTTGTATTTGTAGCCTTTGAAACTGGATTAAATAAAAACAACCCATAGTCTTGGATTTTAAAAGGGCTCCATAGCGGCTGGGCACAACGGCTCATGCCTGTAATCCCAGCACTTTGGGAGGCCAAGGCAGGCGGATCGCCTGAGGTCAGGAGTTCGAGAACAGCCTGGCCAACATGGTGAAAACCCGTCTCTACTGATAATACAAAAATTAGCAGAGCTTGGTGGCGGGCGCCTTCCCAGCTACTCAGGAGGCTGAGGCAGGAGAATAGCTTGAGCCCGGGAGGCGGAGGTTGCAGTGAGCCGAGATCACGCCATTGCACTTCAGCCTAGGTGACAAGAGCAAACTCCATCTCAAAAAAAAAAAAAGGGGGGGGCTACATAGCTACCATAGTGCTTTTGATTTCTCTTCCTGCTATGGCTTCCAGTCTGTGAGAGCTCTTTGAGTGGTCCCTGGCCAAAGGGAGGCAAGCTACAAGGTTCCCTGTCCTCTTCCAACCAGAGTCCCTAAAGTTTTACCTGTTTTTCTTTTTGTTTTCACTTGAAGAAAAGTTCTGCTGCTAATTCACAAGTTTACAAACCATCACCAGTGATTCAGTTGACCAAGTCTGGTTTTACAAACTGCTACTCAGGAACATACCTTCTTTGCTCAGAAAGATAATCCTTAGTTGGTACTACAAATACTCCAGAATTTGTAGAATCTGACCAAGAAATACTCAAGTGAGGCTTCAAAGAGCCATTTTGCATCCAAACTACTCAGCAGTCTCAGCAGCAGCAGCAGTGGTGCACATGGAACTCCGTGTAAAATCCCATTCCAGTCTGGGCAGATGCCACATGCATGTTGATGAGCATTTAAATCTAATGCATTTATGATGTTCTGTCTCTTCTCAAACACCCACAGCAGTTCTGTGATTTTCTTTTTCTTTTTCTTTTCTTTCTTTCTTTCTTTTTTTTTTTTTCTTTTTAGAGAGCTGGATTGAAAGATGTCTCAACGAAAGTGAAAACAAACGTTATTCCAGCCACACATCTCTGGGGAATGTTTCTAATGATGAAAGTAAGTGCTTGAAACTCATTCTTCCATGACATCTCAGACGTGGCCAGTGTCCTGATGGGAGGGTAGTGCCTCTAGATTGCTAGACCGGGCCGAGTCACCTGGAACAAGATGCTCTCCAGCTATTTATGAAATATCCCAGGACCTCTCTGTAATATTCCACAATAGGGAGTGGAATCCATTCAGGTAGACCTGGAAACTGAGGCCACAGCAAAAACTGTGTTTTTACAGTTTAAACTGTTTATAGACTCAACTTCTGCAGGGGACTTGCTAGCCTGCGTTCCCAAAGACCTTGTTATAGTGATGCTCCAGTCGGGCAAATGTGGTCCCTGGTTGGGAAAGGCCATTCTCAGTGTCCACTGTAAATATGGGTTCAAAGTAGTTGTGTCACAGGATTGTTGTTTTAGTCATAAATGTCCTTGATATCAGAAAGCAGAAATTTCTTCCAGTTCTCGGACTAGAGAGCTAGAGTTGACTGAAAGATGTACGCTCCTGTGTTTACACCTTGCCCTGTTTTGTGTCAGACTGGGGCTTCTGGGTGCTATATTAAGAGCAGTAGGCTACTCAGAACTTGTATTTTTTGCCTTAAACACTAAAAAAGAGAGATCAGCTTATTATAAGTCCAATTTTTTGCAGAGTCAGAAATGACTTTCTTCCATGGTTGGTAAAGTGCATCTCCTTCAGTTTTCTGAAAGCATGAGCCCCGGCCCACCTGCTCCACAATCCCCTAAAACATTTGCTAGATCTACTCAATAGCCCCCTCCTGAGTCTTAGCTGAGGTTGTCATTCTGTCATCACCATGTCACTTCATTTTATAAAACTGAGCTACATTGGCCGGGTATGGTGGCTCAAGCCTGTAATCCCAGCACTTTGGGAGGCCAAGGCGGGCGGATCATGAGGTCAGGAGATCAAGACCACAGTGAAACCCCGTCTCTCCTAAAAATACAAAAAATTAGCCGGGCGCGGTGGCAGGCGCCTGTAGTCCCAGCTACTCGGGAGGCTGAGGCAGGAGAATGGCGTGAACCTGGGAGGTGGAGCTTGCAGTGAGCTGAGTTTGTGCCACTGCACTCTAGCCTGGGCGACAGAGTGAGACTCCGTCTCAAAAAAAAAAAAACCAAAAAACAAAAAAACCCTGAGTTACACTGAACATAAACTATACAAATCTTATGTGAGTAGTTTGATGTTTTTTTTCTTTACATATTGTATCCACTGGTGTCATTACCACCCAGAAAAAGATATAGAACATTTCTTGTCCCCCAGGAGGCTTCCTCATCAGTCACTACTGTCCTGACTTATCAGTATAGCCTGTTTTTGCCTGCTTTTAAAACTTCATATAAATGGGATAATGGACTCTATATTCTTTTGTGGGTAACTTTTCTCAGTCAATATAATGTCTGTGAGATTCATTCATGTTGTTATCTCTAGCAGTAGTTATTTCTTTCCCTTTGCTGTATAGTATTTCACTGTATGCATATATCACAATTTACAGATCTTTTAAGTGTTGATAAATATTTAGTTGTTTCAAGTTTTTGATTACTAAGAATAAAACACTACTCGGGAGGCTGAGGCAGGAGAATGGCATGAATCCGGGACGTAGAGCTTGCAGTGAGCCAAGATCATGCCACTGCACTCCAGCCTGGGCAACACAGTGAGACTCCATCTCAAAAAAAAATAAAAGAATAAGGCCAGGCGTAGTGGCTCACGCCTGTAATCCTACCACTTTGGGAGGCCGAGGCAGGCAGATCACGAGGTCAGGAGATTGAGACCATCCTGGCTAACACGGTGAAACCCTGTCTCTGCTAAAAATACAAAAAATTAGCTGGGCGTGGTGGCGGGCACCTATAGTCCCAGCCTCTCGGGAGGCTGAGGCAGGAGAATGGCATGAACCCAGGAGGCAGAGCTTTCAGTGAGCCGAGATTGTGCCACTGTACTCCAGCCTGGGCGACAGAGCGAGACTCCATCTGGAAAAAAAAAAAAAGAAGAAGAAGAAAACATATCTGAATATTCTAAGTTTTATTTAATTTTGGCAAAATCTACATAACATAAAATGTATCATTTAATCATTTGAAATGTATAATTCATTGGCGTTAAGTACATTCATTCACCTTGTTGTGCAGTCATCTACACCATTCATTTCCAGAGATTTTTTCATCTTCCGAGACTGAAACTCTGTACCTGTTAAATAGTAGCTTCTCACTCTCCTTTTCCCTCAGTCTCTGACAACTACTATTCTACTTTCTGCCTCTGTTAATTCGACTGCTCTAAGTATCTTCTATAAGTGGAGTTGTAAGGTATTTGTCTTTTTATGACTGGCATGTTTCACTTAACATAATGCCTTCAAGATTAATCCATGTTGTAGCATGTGTCAGAATTTTCTTCCTTTTGAAGGCTGAATAATATTCCACTGTATGGATATGTCACATTGTCTTTATCCATTAAGACATTGATGGGCAATCGAGTTGTTTCTATCCTTTGGTCATTGTAAATAACACTGTTGTGAACACAGGCATACAAATATCTTTTCAAGTCTCTGCACCTAATTCTTTTGGAGGTACAGACCCAGAAATGAAATTGTTGGATAATATGGTAACTCTGTGTTTAATTTTTTGAGAAATCACAAAAATGGTTTCATAGTGGCTGTATCACTTTACATTTCCACTAGCAAGGCACAAGAGTTCCAATTTTACCAGTTCCTAATCATCATTTATTATTTTTTTTAAATAATAGCCATCCTAATGAATATAAAATGGTATCTCATTGTGGTTTTCATTTGCAATTACCTAATGGTTGGTGATGTTGAACATCTTTTCATGTGCTTATTCACCATTTGCATATCTTCTTTGAAGAAATGTCTAAGTTCTTTGCCCATTTTAAAATCAGGTTGTTTTCTGTTGTTTTAGGAGTTCTTTATATATTCTGGATATTAACGTCTTACCAGTTATATATACTTGCAAATATTTCCTCCTATCCCATGGCTTGCTTTTTGACTCTGTTGATTGTGTTCTTTAATGCACAGAAATTTTTATTCTAATGCATCCAATTTAACTATTTTTTCTTTTGTTGTCTGTACCTTTAGTGTCATATCTAAGAAATCATTGTCAGATTCAATGTTGTGAAGCTTTTGCCTTTTTTTTTTCTGAGAGTTTTACAGTTTTAGATCTTACATTTAGATTTTTGATCTGTTTTGAGCTAATATTTGTATATGGTATTAGGTAAGAGTCCAGCTTTATTCTTTATTTTTAGACAGAATCTCACTCTGTCACCCAGGCTGGAATGCAGTGGTGCTGTCTTGGCTCACTGCAACCTCTGCCTCCCACGTTCAAGTGATTCTCCTGCCTCAGCCTCCTGAGTAGCTGGGATTACAGGCATGTGCTACCAAGCCAGGCTAATTTTTGTATTTTTTTTTAGTACAGAAAGGGTTTCACCATGTTAGTCAAGTTGGTCTCAAACTCCTGACCTCGTGATCTGCCCCTCTCAGCCTCCCAAAGTGCTTGAATTACAGGCATGAGCCACTGTGCCCGTCTGAGTCCAGCTCTATTCTTTCGCATGTTGGTATCCAGGTTCCCCAGGTTCCCCAGCACCATTTGTTGAAAAGACTGTTCTTTCTCCCATTGAATGGTCTTGGCACCATTGTCAAAAAACACTTGATCATGTATGTGGAGGTTTATTTCTGGGCTTTCCATATTACTCCATTGATCTGTATGTCTGTCTTTATGCCAGAACCGGACTGTAGCTTTGTAGTAAGTTTTGAAATCAGGAAATGTGTGACCTCCCATGTTCTTCTTTTTCAAGATCGTTTTGGCTATTCAAAGTCCCTTGAGATTCCATATGAATTTTAGAATGGATTTTTCTATTTCTGAAAAAAAAAAAAAAAAAAGCCACTGGGTTTTTGATAGGCATTGCATTGAATCTATAGATAGATTGCTTTGGGTAGTTTTAACATCTTAATAGTAAGTATTCCAATCCATGAACACAGGATGTCTTTCCATTTATTTGGTGTCTGTAGTTTCTTTCAGCAACAACATTTAGTAGTTTTCAGTGTACAAGTGTTTTGCTTCCTTGGTTAAGTTTATTCCTAAGTATTTTATTCTTTTTGATGCTATTGTACATGAGATTTTCTTAATTTCCTTTTCAGATTACTCATTCTTAGTGTATAGAAATGCAACTGATTATTGTGTGCTGATTTTGTGTCCTGCAACTTTGCTGAATTCATTCATTAGTTTTAACAGTACTTTTGTGTTTGGGTATGTGTTAAATCTTTGGAGTTTTCTACTTATAAGATCATTTCGGCCAAACGCAGTGGCTTACACCTGTAATCCCAGCACTTTGGGAGGGCGAGGGAGGTGGATCACCTGAGGTCAGGAGTTCAAAACCAGCCTGGCCAACATGGCAAAACCCCATCTCTACTAAAAATACACAAATTAGCTGGGCATGGTGGCAGACACCTGTAATCCAAGCTACTTGGGAGGCTGAGGCATGAAAATAGCTTCAATCTGGGAGGCAGAGGGTGCAGTGAGCCAAGATTGCACCACTGCACTCCAGCCTGGGTGACAGAGTGAGACTACATCTCAAAAAAAAAAAAAAAAAAAAAAATCTTTATTTCCTTTTAATAATTTGGAATGTTTTTATTTCTTTTTCTTGCCAAATTGCTGTGGCTAGGACTTCCAGTAGTATTTCAAATAGAAGTGGTGAATGCAGGCAACCTTGTCTTGTTCCTGATTCTAGAGAAAAAGCTTTCAGTCTCTCACCTTCGTTAGCTGTTGTTTTTTAAAATATGACCTTTATTATGTTGAGGTAATGCTCTTCTGTTCTTAGTTTATTGAGTGCTTTTGTCATAAAATGGTGTTGAGTTTTGTCATATTTTTTTTCTCCATCAGTTGAGATGGTTACGTAGTTTTCCTTCATTTTGTAGGAACCATCAATTGAAATAGTTATGTAGTTTTCCTTCCTTGAATGCAAGGATGGTCTGGCAAACAGAAATCAATTGATATAATGTATTTATT